TCCTCCTCCTCCTCCCCTCCTCCTCCTTCCTCACTCCTCCCCCTCCTCCTCCTCCTCCTCCCCCTCCTCTCGCCTCCTCCTCCTCCTCCTCCGCTTCCTCCTCCTCCTCTCCTCCTCCTCCTCCTCCTCATCATCATCTCATCATCATCATCATCATCATCATCACCACCACCACCACCACCATCATCATCATCATCATCATCATCACCATCATCATCATCATCATTATCATCATCATCACCATCACCATCATCATCATCATCATCATCATCATCCTCATCATCACCATCATCACCATCATCACCATCATCATCATCATCATCATTTTCCCCATACTTCCCTTACTACCGCGCGGACGAAGGCGAGGTCGGGATCACGACACGCCCCAGTGCAGACTACTCGTCACAAACGCGCTGTTCCTATACGCAGCCACCTTCCTGCTGTGCGGTTGCACAGAGACGGTGGCGGGATTTACCGCAAGCAGCTGGATAGATATGTGGATGCACCTGTTAAGTGCATGGTCGTAAACACGTATGCCGAACCAAAGAACACAAAAACGTGCAGACATTGTGCTATAGTCCGTCTCCATACCGACATAATTGTTTTACCCGCGGGTCGAGAGCGAGCCTCTTCCGATAGAAGCTAAGCGGGCCACGCACAGCTTTAATTAGCAGAGGGGGGCAAAAGAAGGCGGGGTCTCGCCAAGAGAGGGCAAAGCCCTGGGATCAGGCGGTGCCGAAATCGAAGTGCAAGAAAAGTACGCCTTGGACAGGAACCCGGTGGCGAAGTCCCGGGAGGCGAAAAGCCGGTGGTGGTGCCGTCAGCGGCGCTTCGAGCACACCAGCCCCATCAACTACGGGAGAGGACGCGCCAAGCAACCAGGACGACGCCCGAGAGGAAGAGGAGCACCACTGGGTCGGAGTGCAACGTTGTGCCACCAAACAGGATGCCGTAGAAGCCCAGGCCGTGGTAGTCCAAGGTGCCACGAACATGGGAAAGCAGCCGCAGTGTGAGGCGCGGCGGCCAGGCGAAGCTGGTAACTAGCCGCCTATAATCGACAGGGTGCCGGTGTGCTGCAACCCATACCCACATAGACGCGTGTGTGTTGTTTCCACAGCGGCTCCTCTCTCCTTTGCCACGTGCACATGTCTGCACACTTGTACAAAGCTGGTGCATCGCTATTCTCACGAGCAGATATCCTTGCTGACCGCAGCGTCGCTGCTCTCTCCCCTGGGGAAACCAAAAGGCACCGATACCACTGCTCCCTGGACCTCTCCCGGGTGCGCTGTGGTCAGAATTTCGAGGCGATCCAGCGATGGCGACGAGGGTCTCCCAGGCGGCCAAGACGGGCGAGAGCGGGGCAGAGATAGCGGCACTGGTACCTTTTCTCTTCTGATCTCTCTCTCTCTCTCTCATATCTATATACAGACATGTATCATTATCGATATGTATATAGATATGTAAACATATATACATATATAGTTGACGATCGGTATACCTATAGATGTTTAGCTACCTACCTCCCAATATCTATATATATTTATAAATATATGTATATATATGTATATACATGTGTATATATATATATATATATCCCCGCCTTCGACTACCCCTCGCAGAGGCTCCAGGGACAAACAGAAACGGAAACAGCGCGTACGCGCCGCCTTGGAGGAGGCTTCGGCCGAAGGCCGTCGGCTCCCGAGGCGTAGACCACCTGGTCCGCCGGGGGTGGTCCACGGAGGGGTCGTCTCCTCCTCCTCCTCCTCCTCCTCCTCCTCCTCCTCCTCCTCCTCTGCTCCTCCTCTCCTCTCCTCTCTCCTCCTCCTCCGCCTCCTCCCGCTCTGCCTCCTCCTCCTCCTCCTCCCTCCTCCTCCTCCTCCTCCTCCTCCTCCTCCTCCTCCTCCTCCGCCTCCCGCTCCTCCCTCCTCCGCCTCCTCTCGCTCCCTGCTCCTCCTCCTCCTTCCTCCGCCTCCTCTCTCCTACCTCCTCCTCCTCCTCCTCCTCCTACTTCTCCTCCTCCTCCTCGCACGAGGGCAGGCGAAGTCAGAGGGGGCGGGCCTTGTCATAATCGGGGGCGCGCAAACATGGATTAGCGCTCCATGAATTTGGCGCGCGGTCGCCAAAACCATGGATCGGGGAAGGTGCCCTCCCCAAAATGCGGCCGGTGCCGCCTCGCTGGGCGGCGGAAATCCGCGCTTTCCCGTGGAAACGGGACCCGTCGCCAATCCACGCCCCCTTGATCCATGTTTGCGATCGCCTGGCAGAAGGCTCGGAAGGCCTCGGGCCTGCTGAGGACATCTCTGAGCCATCTCCGAGGACGGAGACGGACTCTCAGGAGGCCAGAGGGCTTCCGACAAGCACCGCCGCCTTCCGAGAACACCCGCCCCCCCTCACTTCCCCGCCCGGCGCGCCGCCGAGCCGAGGGAGCCCGAGGGCGGAGGAGGGAAGCAGCAGGAAGCGCTACGGGGTTGCCCCGTGCCCGTGCCCATGGAGGCATCGGGCTCGCTCACATCGTGGACGAAATAGCCTGACGAAGAGCCCAACCATCTACAGGCGCGGGCACCGCGGGGGTGGGCCATGGAGGCGTCGTGAGAGCAGCGAGCACGAGGACGGGCAGGATCGGTCGGCATCGGATCGGTCAATCGGATCGGATCGATATGTGCGTCGGGTCGGGCGGCACGAAGTCGGTCATCGAATCGGATCGGCTGCGCCGGGATGCACCACAACGCCATGTGAGCATCGGGAGGCGTCGGGCCGTCGGGAAGTAGAAATCGAATCTGATCGAGCAATTCGGAATCGATATCGAATCGTATCGAACGGATCGAACTCGACCGTGCGGCAAGCTTTGATGGTGACCTCATACTGTGCAGAGCACAGCAGAGGCCATCAGCCTCAAAAGCTGCGGGACACGAGCTTCGGACCCTGGGCAGAAGGAGAGCACTCAAGCCACACCGATGTGAAGCGGCCGCTCCCCCGCGCAAAAAAAACGAGCCACATCGATCCGTGAGGACCCTCGGGGCTGAAATATGGCAACAGCACCAATTGGGAGGGGGGGGAGATAGGGAGGAGGTCGGCTGGACTGGTCGGCGGACCAATACAAGATCTGTCAGCAGATCTCAGCCAAGAAGGTTCGGGCGCATATTGCTGCACGCAGACCCACAAGTGAGCCTGGAAAGAGGCACGGACGCAACCCGCGGCCGCCAAACAGCAACGAACACGTCCAAGTATCGCAGTCAGAACCTCCGAAATCAGCCTGAAAGCGTGAGGAAATCTCTCCGCCGCCACCCCTGATCCCAGACCCCTGACGTCATGATTTTTTCACGACGCGACCCCAAGAGGTCCGGACCCATTCCCTGGGACCGGTTTTTTATCCTGAATAATTGTGTTGACGGTCCCGAGGCCTAGCAAGGGCCCCATGAGGCCGAACATAGCGAAAAAAAACCGTCGCCATTTGTTCATAACTCAAGGTGGTCTGGGATTTGGGGGCCCTGGAACTGTGCGGTGGCAGACAGCGAGGTAATCTCGAAATCACCAAAAAAAAACCTCACCGCATGATCTCAAATTGGACCCGGCAGCCGCCTCGGCGAGTCCGAACCTGCCTGTCAGTCCTCAGGCCCCAGACGGAAGAGACGACGACGACAACGACGACGACGACGACGACGACGACGACGACGACGACGAAGGGGACCCGCAGCCCTGACCGCGGGAAGGAGCAGCGAGGAGCCTCCTCCGTGAGGAGGAGGAGGAGAAGGAGGAGGAGAAGGAGGAAGAAGAAGAGGAGGAGGAGGAAGGGAGGGCGGTGGAGGAGGAGGAGGAGGAGGAGGAGGAAGAGGAAGGGAGGAGGAGGAGAGGAAGAGCAGGAGGAGGAGGATGAGGAGGACGAGGAGGAGGAGGAGGAGGAGGAGGAGGAGGGAGGCACCGAGGGCCGCTCGTCTCGGGCTCCTCCTGCCACCCCTGGGGGGCCGAGCGCATCGCTCGCAGCTGGCACGCAGAGGCACGGCTCCGAGCTTGACGAGCAGCCGCAAGAGAGCAGGAGGAGGAGCAGGAGGAGGAGGAGGAGGAGGAGGAGGAGGTGGAGGAGGAGCAGGAGGAGGAGGAGGAGGAGCCGCCGCGCCGGCACGACGCGAGCCTGCTGCACGAGAGGAGCGCGTCGCCGTCCCGAGGAGGTCGCCAGGAGCTGGCCTCGGGCGCCGAGCGTGCACGCGGGCGAGCCTCGGACCGATCCCAACCCCCGATGGCATGATGCGCTCACCGCGTGGGCACCCGCAGGTCTCGGCCCCACTCCCAGGGGCCCAGCGAGGGCCCACGAGCACGAAAACTGCGAAACACGAAAACGAGCACCACGAAAAATCCCGTCGTGATGCTTGTTTGCGTTTTCTGGCCCTGTGCACCGAGCCTTCTCGGCGGCGCCTGGGGCCGTGTGCGTGGCTGCGCTTTGGAGCGCGTGGCCGTGGCCATCAGCAGAGGTGCTCGGCTGGGCGTCGCGAGCTGTTGCCGAGTCCCGACCCGTATCGTCATCGTCGTCATCACGTAATGGCCAATGCATGCACCCCGCCTGTAAACTGTGGAGCACCATCTGTAACACTACCACCATCATCGTCGGCAACGGCATCAGCACCTCGGCATCACCACCGTCATCATGAGTCATACCTGGTCGGCCTGACCCCTGGGCCGCGAGTCCCGAGCGGATGGCTGCTGGCTGGGCTGGCGCCCCCCTCGGAGGGGCGTGAGCGGCACGGCCTGAGGGCGCAAAAGACACTTGAGCGACGATCAAAGACGGGTCGTGAGCGAGATGACGTAGCGACCTTACGCGGTGGCTTACGCGGGCCGCCGGCGCGGCACGCCACATTGGAGACGAGGGCGCTTACGCGCGAGCTTACGCGCGCAGCTTACGCGCCCATGTCGGCGCAGACGACCCCTTGTTATTCCGCCGCTCACCCGTGCGTCACACGCGCACAGCTTCGCCGCGGGTGCCTCGGCACAGTCAGGCTGTCAGCAGACGGGGCACCAGAGCCAATCTGCGGCACCTCCTTGGAGGCGCGTCCGCGCACCGTGCGCACACCAGCGTTCCCAAGGGGCCTCTTCTGCTCGCCGGCCATGCACCACCCGCTGCATGCCAATCACCCCCTGCGGCGTCCCGCCTCTGCGCCGAGCGCCCTGATCAACTCCACCGCTATGTGGGCGGAGGGAGGACGAGAGGGAGAGAGGAGGAAGGAGGGAGGAGGGAGGAGAGAGAGGGAGGGAGGAGGGAGGGAGGGAGGAGGGAAAAGGGAGGACGAGGAGGAGGAAGAGGAGGAGGAGGGAGGAGGACGGAGATAGGAGGAGGCACAGGGGGTGAGCTGGATTGTCCTTCCAGCCCCTAGCGGCGGCTCCCCGCCTTTATGCCGAGCTCCTTGATCAGCTCAGCCACTTTTGGGAAGAAAAAAACAGAGGCCTCGGTCACCCACGGCGACCTGGCCGCGGCCGCTCCGAGGCTGCGGGCAACCGCCGCCGGCAACTACTTCTTTTCCTTATGTTCCTAAAACGAGGCGAAAACAGAAACAGAACCGGCCCAGGAAAAATAGGGGATCTCCGCTCCTCCTCCTCCTCCTCCTCCCCCTCCTCCTCCTCCTCCTCCTCCTCCTCCTCCTCCTCCTCCTCGAGGGCGTGAAAACAAACATCCAGCCAATCAAACTCCACCATGGCTTACCAATCGCCCTGGACGTCTCTACTCCACTGGGCGTCGGCGGAATAGAGGAAACCCCTGAATACATCGGGAGTTATGGGACCATGGTTCTGGAGGACGCATCAAGCGTCGCGGCCTTCTCTGCGCATTCAGGAACGCTTTGAGAGCATTCCAGAGCGCTCAAACTCTGCATTCCAGAGCGCTCTGGCACCGAGTTACCCCTGTCCTAGCCCCGCCCAGATTCCCCCTCCTCGTCAGCTGATCACAAACTCCATGCTTCTCGAATTGTTGAGTTCCTCGCCTTCCAGCGTGTAATATATCTTCGGTGATCAAATCTGCTCCTGACACAACGTCCAGTACACAGGCTGCTCCGTCCTCAGAACTGCGTGTTGCGTTGATTTATACGTATACTCCGTCCGCCTTTCTTTGGGGCAACTGCGGCAAGCCTCCGCTCTCAAGACAAGCTCAGAGAGTTCGGCGGAGCGAGACTTGACCAGAACTTCGAAACGAATTCCGATTCAGTCGCAGCGACTAGAAGCTCCCTGGATGCACACACAGGAACAAAAAAGTCAGAGAACCTCAATCCTCGAACAGATTCTCCTCCCATCGTCCTCCTCCTCCTCCTACTCCTCCTCCTCCTCCTCCTCCTCCTCCTCCTCCTCCTCCTCCTCCTCCTCCTCCTCCTCCTCCTCCTCCTCCTCCTCCTCCTCCCCTCCTCCCCCTCCTCCTTCCTCCTCCTCCTCCCTCTCCTCCTCCTCCTCCTCCTCCTCCTCCTCCTCCTCCTCCTCCTCCTCCTCCTCCTCCTCCTCCTCCTCCATCCTCCTCCCTCCTCCTCCTCCTCCTCCTCCTCCTCCTCCTCCTCCTCCTCCTCCTCCTCCTCCCCGTCCATTTTCTTCCTGACGACACCGACGCACGAAAGCCGCAGCGAGGCCCTGAAGTAAAAGAGAGTAGGGGGGAGGAGGAGGAGGAGAAGGAGGAGGAGGAGGAGGAGGCGAAGAGGAGGAGGACGAAGATGAGGAAAAAGATGGATACTGTGAGATGCGGTTCAGTGTCACGCACGCCTGGCGCTCTTCCCATTACTGCGAGAATTGATGAGGTGCCGCGCACACCCGGGGTGATAGGTACCGCCTTCCTTGTTTACTGTCCCCCCCGCTAAACTCTGCCCAGCCACCCGCCTTCACTGTTATACAGATCAGGTCTATCAACACCAACACCGGGCCGCAGTCCCGATCAAAAGCAAAACATACAAAAGAAACCTGATCTAGGGCCGCGCCAATTAGCGGCCAGGTGTACGAGGCCCCAGAAGCGGTGAGGAGCGTGGCGGAGGCAAAGAGGTCAGTGGAGTGCAGGACCTCCAGAAACTCGGTAGCACCTCGATCGACTGCTTGCACGAAGCCGCACGAACCTGTGAATGGGGCGGGGGAATGGTCACCAATGAAGCAGGGAACGCCAGATTTGACCGCCGTGGCAGCGGCCTCCCTCCACCGGCTCTGAACGAATTAGACGAGGCGGCCGGAGTGGGGGGCGTGAGCCACCAAGGAAGCGTGGAGCATGGAAGTAGGGGCATGGAAGTAGGTTGTAGGCAAGTAGAGGGCGCGAAATTTGGGGCATGGAAGTAGGCAAGTAGTAGGGGGCATGAAAGTAGGCAAGTGGGGGGCACGGATTAGACGAGGTAGCATGGAAGCAGAGGGCAGAGAGGCGGACCACGAGCAGGCGAGGGGCTTTGTAGAGGACGAGGAGGTGAGAGCGACGGACGAAGAGCTCCTTGAGACAGAAAATCCCATCATCCTCCTCCTCTTCTTCCTCCTTCTCCTCCTCCTCCTCCTCGTCCTCCTCCTCCTCCTCCTCCTCCTCCTCCTCCTCCTCCTCTGCCTCCTCTTTTGGACCTAACCTCGCGCAAGGCCTGTCACTGGCGATCCCAGTGCTCCCACCCCGGATTGCCTCTGTCGCTACACCCCCGCCAACACGAGGAAGCCTCCGGCCCAGCGCGTGCACTCGGCCGTGCGAGCTTCTTGTAAACAGGGCAGTTTTTAATCCATTGGATTTTTAGAAGTATAGGATTTTTTATGCATGATTAATTTATGCATAAATCTATGTGGAATTCAGTTTTTCCGTCGGCGGCGAGGCAGATTTGGCTGCACCAGCGATAGAGCTAGACGGGGGCACCGAAAAGCGAAATGGCCGGACGGAGAGTGGAATTCTGACTCCCGCGGCCGCACCCGGAACGCCTCAGGCACAGGCGAGGCGAGGCACCTACGCGTCACAGGGTCCGACTCCCCGCACAGCGACGGGGCACTGTAGGTTCCCATCCCGAGTGGAACCCAGACACGCTGAGTATCGTGTTCACTGGGACGCACGAAGACATAGTGTATGTCCTCCTTGGAGGCGCGCGTCCGACCCGAACATATATTATACCGACCTCGTCGTAGATCGTTTCCCGAGCGGTCGGGCCATGAAGCGCCCGCCACGACGCATGTGCTATGAGATCTCTTGGTGCGCACGTCGCCCCTGGGCGGGGGCGACGCGCACGCAGTATTAGCATGTTGGGGCGACACCCATCCTTGGCGGCGCGCACAAGGGGGTAGGGGGAGGGGGGAAGGCTTCTTAGAAGGAGGTTGCTTCTTAGAAGGCGCCGGCCTCACATCTGCAGAGAAGACCCGCGCCTTCTGAGAAGCAGGGGTGCTTCTGAGAAGCCTTCCCCCCTCCCCCTACCCCCGTCTGCGCGTGGCCAGCATCCACTCCCGTCCTCGTCCCTCTCTTCTGTACTGTACTGTACTCAATGGAAGCGGCCGTCGAGTGCCAGCCGCCCCAAACACAAACACACTCACCCAGTAACATGTGACTGTGGAGCGGGCATCAACAGACCAAAACGTGAGAGAAGCTGGGCAGGGCTCCACCTTTCCTCCCACAGGCCCTCGTCCCTCTCTTCGCTCACTTCTCCCGCATCGCCTCCCTCCTCCACCCTTTTGTTCTGGGAGCAGCACAGTGGCTGTGGGGTACCTTCCGCCGTCGGCGCGCCGCCCCGCCCAGGGACGGACTCGAGGCCCACGGGGGAGCGACGCGGGGCGAACACAGCTCCCCTGCTCTCGAAGAGGGAGGGCATGCACTTCTGAAGGGGCCCTGGGACACACCAATAAGTACACGCACAAATAAAATAGTTCCCCTTATTTTCCCATATCTTCTGGGGGTCTGTTTTCCCCCCACTTCCCATATTTTCCCCATACTTTCTGAGGAGTCGCCGATGAATTGTGTCTGTGTGTTTCTTTCCCTCTTGAACTTCGCTCGGCCAGAGGCGCTTCCAGTGGCCGCGTCCGGTCCGTGCCGGCCCGGAAGCAGGCTGGTCCGCGAGCGGCCGTGCGACGCGAGGGGCGGAACGGACCCGCCCAGCCAGGAGTCGGCGAGCTCGCTCCACGGGTGGCACGGGCGGGCGGGAACGCGGCCAGCTTCGAAGCCTCGCCGTCCCCCCACTGAGTGGGCAGCACTGGACACAGAAAAAGCGCCGTTTACATAAATGTTTGGCATTCCGCTCGGATTGCTGGGATCTGCGCTGGAGACCCACCCCTCTGTGGCGCGCGGACCGCGCCAGGAGCGGCGCCAGAGGTGCCGCGCCAGGGGGGCGCAGCGCGGACCCAAGAAATCTGCGCGGAACGCTAAAAATGTGTTTATGGCGTTTCTGTTTTCTTGTTTGTAATATGATTGTTATTCTTATTAGTATTAGTATTATTAGTATTATTGTTACTATTGTTATTAGAATTATTAGTATTATTATTATCATTAATAAAAATACTATTAGCATTAATAGTAATAGCAGCAGTAGTAGCAGTAGTAGCAGCAACAGCAGTAGTAGTAGTAGTAGTAGTAGTAGTAGTAGTCTTATTATTAGTAGTAGTAGTAGTAATATTATTACTCGTAAGATAATGATATGACTATTCGTAGTATCATTATGATTACTGGTATTCGTAGTGTTAATATTATTCTGATTACCATTGGTCTTAGCATTTCTTATTAGTATAACTATTATTGATAGTTATACAATCATTATGTTGATTATTTCTCGTGTTATCATGACTCTTACGTTCCGTTCATTATTTGTATTATGAGTATGCTTGTTCCTCTGATTACTCATAATTTTAAGTTGTCTGGTTATTCCTCTAAGTATGAGTCGCATTAGTATTCTTAATGTTGTTATTATTGCGAATAGCTTGTTACTACTACTACTCGGTAATACCAATAATTGTTCTTCTTAGCATCACACTTATTACTCGTCCTCTCAGTATTATCATTCGTATGATTGGTATGCTTAATCTTTTTCGTCTTAGTATGATTCGTAGTATTATAATGAGTACTAATAATCGCAGTAATCGTGCTATTCATCATAAAAATATGCGTATTAACAATAGTACTCGTATTCGACTTATTGATATTATTGGTTGGCTGATTATGCATATTATGTTTCTTCGAATTCGTTTTATAATACTTCTTCTTCTCAGTATTATTATTCTTATTACTACTACTCGATTAGCATGATCCAATATCGGGGAGACGTGCGACTCGGGAGCGGAGGGCTCGCGCTGGCCCAACGGGGCCGTCATGAAACTGACGAAGCCCTGTCTGGAATTTGACGCGAGCTCCCGCTGGAAACAGCCCACGAAGAACAGGACCGTCAAACTCCGGGACGCGCTCGTGGGAGAGCGGCGGCAAGCACGAGTTCCGGCGCACTCGAATCTTGGGTTTCCCCGACAGCAATTGACCCAGACGGGGGGAGGCATAAGCACTGAGTCGGGCGCG